CTGAATAACACACGGCATTTGGGGCTGAAATTAAAACCGTGGCTGAGGACGAGAATCACTGACATGATCAGGCGACTGGATTCAAATGAGGAAATAGTAATTACAAATAATTAATCTTCAGTAATCCCCTCTGAACGGAGCTTGGTTTACTTTAACCGAGCTCTCTGAGAGTACTGCATGGCAAATCTCCGGCTTAACATTTTGTCTGTGAGCCAGTCCTAAAAATCTTTGAGAAAATAATATTTTTATGACTCAATCATACAAAAAGATGTAATAAAAATGGCTGGTAATTATGATAATAGTGATCGACAGACAATGCTTTAGCTTCCTGCTTTGGAAATGACAAACTAACCAGCCATCATCTCCTATTAACGACCAAAGATTAATAAGCCGTAGAGTAATTTTCTGCCTGCAACATACAGCACGTATTCACCCGCATAAATCAACGGCCTTACACAGAGAGCCGTAACGAAGAGAAAAAGCCGTATGATAAATGCAAGCTGTGCTCAGCTCCGGGCAACTTCATTCTGAAGAGGCGAGCCAAAAAGGAAGATGAGGAGGGGGGAAATAAGCAAGGCAATTCATCCATTAGTTTATGAAGTTCCTCTCCCTGAAGGTGTGAAGACATGATTGGAGGTCACTGACACTGATTTGTGTGTGTGTGTGTGTGTGTGTGTGTGGTTTTCATTACTGTGAGCTATGTTCTCTGCAGTGTGCTTTGTTATGTTGCTCACAACGAGTACGTAGCTGCATCAAATCACTGGAAGAAAGGCTTTCAGTTTCTATACATTTCTATTTCATCCTTTTATATGTTTGTCGTTCACAGCCAAACAACAAATGACAGACTCAAAACCTGTGCACTTCTCATCAACCCTTAGCACACATTTGTGGACACCCTTTACCAAACGCAGAGCCGAGGTCTCATTGCAGAGGGGGGCAAGCTCCTGTATTGGGCCCTTAAAGTGCTAATATATATAGTGTCCTGACAGAACTCTTGTTATGAATTGGCACTATACAAATAAAACTGAATTGAATTGAATTGAACCTGGCTGGGAAGGCAGAGCGAAGAGAAACGCGGCATACAATGAGGTGTGCCATTTCACCACCATGGATTTATCATTAAACAGAGACCACAGCTCTGATAGGCTTTTTCTGTGTTTCTATGGAAGCCCATTTACGCCTATGTAACAACTGTGAACTCATCTCGAAATAATGAATTAGTATTTCAAAAAAACGAGAAACTTAGTATGACCATGTCATTATTTTCAGATACTAACACTACTGTCAATAATTAACTCAATATTCGAAAATGTTTTGACTTACAAAATTATTTTTTCCCCTGTCACGTTGGTGGAAATGGGCTTTTATATATTTCAGAACTATGATCAGATAAAGGATAAAACAGTAAGATCTAACTACTACAATAACCAGCTGACACTGCGGTCAACAACACAAACAGCAACAAACAACACTTAGTGAACAACACGGGGTCAGCATCTAGAACAGCTTATTAATATGAAACAACCTACCAGTGCTGTTTTCATCCAGCAGCTGCCAGTGTGAGTTCACTGTAGCCTGTGTGTACTGTCCAAACAGTCCAACCACAGACTCCACATAATCCACCTCCATCATCGTCATCATCTTCATCATTATGGTTGCTGTCAGCTACCTGCATGGAGCTAGCTGCTGCTAGCTAACATTGTCACCTGTTTGGCTAGCTGAGCTAACAGCAGCACTCTGAGCTGTTGACTGAGAATAACATTACTTATACAGTCAGTAAAAACAGTGAGGCCAGCTTTTAAAACTCCCGGTGCTGCAGCTGTGCGCATCCAATCAGAATGGCTGGTGGGGGCCCTGTTAAGGGGGAACTGGGAGGGTGGAATCAGCGACAGTACAAACAGGCCACATTGCAGCTGGTGCTGGCTGCTGTAGAGAACCCCCTGGCAGCGGTCAGGGCTCCTCTCTGCTGCAGCAGACACAGGAGTCTGACTTGTATTGTTTGCCACAAGACACACAAACAAACTTTATTCAAAATATTCCGCCGAACAATAAAAATGTATGTTCACACATGGGCCCTAAATTCCAACTTATGTCTAACCTCCCAAGCCACTAAGGAAGCCTGGGACAGAGATCTGGGCATCTGTATCAATGACCTAGACCAGTGGTCCCCAACCTCTTTCCTGAAGCTTTGGCGACCCCCAGGTTGGGAACCATTGACCTAGACTGGCAGGAAGTTTGCCTCCAGGCTATGCAATTATCCATCTGTAGTCGAACCAAATCTACTCAATTTAGAATTCTATATCACACATAAATCACTGCTCTGCTGTAAATGTAACTCTGACATTGGTATTTATATTCACTGTTTCTGGTCACATGTACAAAGATATCCTTCTGGTATTTTGGAAGAACTCTATTATTGTTATTTTTGGTGTTCCAACAGAGTTAGACCCTACATGCCTCCTTCTTGGTCTGCCAGATATTCGTATTAAAAATATCAAACATAAGAGGTTATTCCATCTACTGACTTTTGTCGCCAGGAAGAACATTTTGCTCTTGGATTAAGGATGTTACTCCAACAAAAAAGCCATGGCACAGTCTTATAATGGACCCAATGAATTCATCTCATGTGCTCCACTCCGCGGTGGACGCTTTTATAAAGTTACTATAAAGTTTGGGACCCTTACTTAGAACATATTGTCATCTTCCTTAGTGCAAAGGTTTCCCTGTCTCTGGAATTTATTATTCATTTGATTTTTTATTGCAGAATAAATCTTCCTGTAACTTTGTTTGCTATATACTTACATATTTCTTGGAATTTGGGGATAGAATCAATGCCCATTAATCTTACTTGTATACATTTTTCTTACAAACACATTTTACTTATGTCTGAGCTGTTTTGGTTCTAATTATATATGAAAAATGCAATAAAAATGCATGTTCAGTCAAGCAGATTGGGGCCCCTAGGGAAGTGTGGGCCTGGGACAGCTGCACCCTTCAATTGTGTTTTTATTTTAATTGTATAAGAATGAGTAGTTTACATTTATATAAAACCACTAGAAAAAACAATAAAAAAATAACATTCACGCAGGCCGGAGAGAAGGGGAGGGAGGGCCAGGAATGGCCCCGGGGGTTAATAGATTAATGGAGATTACTGTAGAGGGTATTAACCCAAAACAGTATTTGCATTACCACAGGCTTATTTCCATACAAACCCTTGAAAAGCTCGATTTAGTCCACCCACATCGGGGTGTGCTGCGGACACGTCACACTGCAGCGTTGGAAATCACGATAATTGCCATATAAGGCTAATTTCCAGTTTTCAATAGGGTTTTTTTTTGTGCAATTTTTGCATGTAGATGTGTTCAGGGCGGGACTCTTATCAACATTTGAAGTTTGGTGCAGATTGGATAATGTACACTGAAGTTACACCAACGTCCTGTTCCGTGACAAAATACAGATTTTCGAAGCCAGGCCACGGACACGCCCTTTGATGAAAAGATTATGATAACTTTTCATCATGAACTTCTTTGGACCGTTCTTACCAATTCTGAAGTCGATCTAATCAATTCCCTAGGAAATATAAAAATCACAACTTGGAAAATTACCACTAAATTCAAAATGGCCAACTTCCTTTTGGGTTTTGGGTATGGGTCCAAGAGGTTTTTTGCTTGTCTGGTCATGATACACGTGCTTACTTGCCACGTTGGTCGTATGTAAATGGTAAATGGACCTGTACTGGTATAGCGCCTTTCTAGTCTTGCGACCACTCAAAGCACTTTTACACTACGTGCCACACAGCGATGGACAGAAACTAGAAACTAACTCATACATACACATTCACAGACCAATGCTGTGCAATTTGGGGTTCAGTATCTTACTCAAGGATACTTCGACGAGTGGCAGGAGAAGCCGGGGATCGAACCAACAACCTTCGGATTGGGGGTTGACGCGCTCTGCCTCTGAGCCACAGCTGCCCTGTGTCCGTATGTGTCTCGGCACCCAGAGAATTTGTACATTTCTTGTACCATTGCGAGTTTCATGAGTTTTCAGGCATGTTGCAGCTGCCAAAAACGTGATCCATTTGGGAGAATCGTAACTCCTTACATTTCACTGCTCAGGTCTTAATTACCAAAGCCTGTTACATGCCCTTCCTCAGTGCCATTAGCTCCATTGTTGTCCAAAAACGATGAAAAACACATCAGTGAGCCACACTGTTTTAACTTAATTCCCCATACAACATCCTGCTGCACTCACTAGAGCACCAAATGTGGATTAATCCACTTCTGAAAATAGTCCCCAACAAACGTGCTATTTCCTCCTTTGAGTAATGTTAGATAAAAACTAGTGTCCAGCTGTTTAAGGAAATTACTTTA